CTCTTCATTCAAGTGTGAGATATTGAAAGAAAATCTGTTTAAGCAAGTGTCAGACTTTTACTCTGCCTCAGGTATCTTAATTCAGCTCTGTCTGTGGGACCTTAATCTCAAATCTCAGAAACCCCATCTTACTAACTCCACCTCGTCGGCTCTGCAAATCACTACCTCCCCATATCCTGTGGAACTGCTCCTCTAATCAGAATCTGGAGAGGTTGTCTGGGTGGAGCTCCTGGTGTGTCCCTGTAGCCAGTTAGACATTGGTTGATACAATTTTGCTGCTTGTAACAGCTAGTGACTGGACTAGCTGAACTTACTTGGTTTGTTCCTCTATTTCAGAGTAATTCAAATAAAACTTTCTAGTAGTTAGTATATGTGATATACATGTGTAGATTATCACAGTTCATGCCTTTCACCAAACACTTTCATGCCTCTGTGGTTTGTTCCTCCCATCTTCTATCCCTCAAATATCTTTCTTTTTCTAATGAAATACTTCTCATCCTTCAGGGCTCAATTCAAGCGCCTCTTTCTCTATGAAGCTTGCCCCTATCCTCTAAGTCATAATTAGTCAATCCCTCTTCTACTACATTCTCAGACTGCATTATTAGTATTTCTTCCTACCAGGAATTATAGGCAATAGTCTCTACGTATTTACTTATTTATTTTTCGAGAGGGGTCTTGTTCTGTTGCCCAAGCTGGAGCGAATGCAGTGGTATAATCCTAGCTCACTGCAGCCTCGATCTCCAGGGCTCAAGCAACCTTCCTACCTCAGCCTCCCAAGTAGCTGGGACTACAGGTGCACGCCACCACACCAGACTAATTTTAAATTATTTTTTGTAGAGGCGAGGGCTCGCTTTCTTGCCCAGGCTGGTCTTGAACTCCTTGGCCTCAAGCAGTCCTCCCCCATCAGCCTTCCAAAGTGCTAGGATTACAGTCATGACCCACCATGCCCAGCTGACCATTTCATATTCATATCCATTGTATCTGGCAGGTAATGATTCTTTTTTTAATTTTTTTTTTAAATCCACAAATTATAATTGTATATATTTAGAAAGTATAGTGCAATGTTATGATATGTGTATTCAACATAGAATAAGTAAATCAAGCTAATTAGCCTACCTGTCACCTCATATATTTGTCATTGTTGTGGTGAGAACATTTCAAATTTATTCCCTTAGTAATTTTGAAATATACAATATATTAACTAAAGTCAGCCTGTTATGCAATAGATCTCAAAAATGTATTCCTCCTGTCTTACTGAAAAGTGTACCCTTTGACCAACATGTCTCCATTCCACCCCCTCACCCATCCACCCCCAGCCTCTGGAAACCATCATTCTACTCTTGACTTCCATGAGTTTGACTATTTAGATTCCACATATAAGTGAGCTCATGTAGTATTTGCTGTTTGGTGCTGGCTTACTTCTCTGAGCGTAATATCTTATGATCCTAGAGTGCTGGACTTGAAGCCTCAGAATAAACATGGCATATCTCCTTATAGTAGCAATTTTACTCTTTATATTAGCAATTTTACTTTTTATACTAACAATTTTACTTAATTTTCAGCAATTAAAAAATTATCAAATATTTTTAATGTTCAGATATTTTATGGAGGGGAGTGCAAAATTAGCTGGACTTTTAAAGATAACTACATTTAAATCATTTGTTCACATTCCTCTGACATGGGAACTATTTGCAGTGGGCACTCAACACAAGTTTGAGTTGAATTTAATTTCAGGAGACGTTTATAATCAATTATTTCTTTCCCTAAAAAAACCCCACAGAACTTTATTTATTCATATTAACAGCAAGAAGACCATTCTTTTTTTAAAAAAATTAATGAGTTAGAAAAGGCAAACTGGAAAAATCAATGTTATTTCACCTAAATTGTAAATTTTGGCTTAACAAAGCTCACTATTTAAACATGTCTGAGAAACCTTTCAGAGCACTACCCTTTGGCAAAGACCAAATGATTCTTTGTATTTAAAAAATTTTTTATAAGATACATTATACACGTAAAATAGCATATGCAATACATGTACAGCTTACTTTTCCAAGTCTTTACAGTATCTGATAAGTAAAAAATTTAACTGAATAATAAATAATAAGTATTTATCCAGTGAAATATCCTTGAGACTTTATGAAGCCACTGCCAAGAAGTAGAGCATAAAACTAATATTTTCCTTTTTTTTTTAAGTATATCAGGTTAAGTACAGCCAAATAGAAATGAATCAGCTATGATGTTATCTGCAAGCCTTGCTTTATACTACATTGCTTTCAAATCTCAATTATAAAAGCAATACATGCTTAATGTAGAGATGTTAAAAGCCTGACCCACTGGACCCTTTTTTTCTTTCCTGCTCATTGTAGGTGGAAGGGTCAATGGGAAGTCACATGGCCCATCTGGAGCGCCTGGAAGACAGCAGAGGGCATGACAATGGCTAAATCAGGAGCGAGCGATCCACCTTGAGTGACTGACACTAGCTAATCTGTGCATGGGACTTACTGCAGCCAAGGAGTCAATGTGCTGCCCAAATTTTGTGTTTGACATATACCCCTTTTATCTCATACAGTTTCAGAACTTTATTCTCCCAACTTCCTTTGTAAAAGCAATGACTTTGCAATCAATTCCATTTTATTTTAGCAATATATATATTTTCAATAATATATCATTTAGTCAATGATCCCCTCCAAAATCAGAATCAAATAGTCTTATCTACTTTTTATACCTTATTCCGTCATCCAAATTATTATTCCCATGATGATTTATTTAGCCATGCACTAATATAGACTTTCTGCCTACCGATGAAAGTCTTGATCAAAATCATTCTGTGACTCCTGAAGTTCAAATGTCCTAAACCAGCGGACAAACCCCTTTGAGTTCTGGCTTCTGCCCAGCTCTGCAGACTCACCTTTAGTCGCTCCCATACACACCGGGCTCCTATCACAAAGACAGTCATGGTTCCCCATCGATTCTAGCTTCTGGGGCTATTCCCTCTGCGGACATCCTTCCCCTGCACCAGGCTAGTTGTTAAACTCCTAATATCCTTCAAAATTTTGTGCAAATGTCATTCTTCCCTGTCTTTCTTGATATGTCCCAGGAGAGTTAAGCCCTGTTTTTCTGTGCTGTGGTATAGCATCTTGTCTACATTTCCATTATAGTATTTCTATCAAACTATACATTTAAAAGTCTCACTTCTACAAGATCAGGGGTCCATACTCTCAAGGTTTCCACGAATCCTCTAAATTATAGGCAAAATTGTACAGGTTCATTTTCTTCTTGGGAAAGAGTTCAGAGCTCACAGCAGTCTCTCAAAGGAGTCTATAATTACTCTCTCAAAAATAAACTTAGAACCACTGCACTAGATTGTGAGTCCCTGGGAAACAGAGAGTGAGTTCTAGAGTTCTTTGTGTCTCTGCAGATAGATGCCTAATGTTAGCTGAATGAGCATTTCAGTTATTGTGTAGAGGTAGATGCTTATTCTAGTAAAGATATATAGTAAATTCAGCCTCCTCTGTTTTTTGATTTAAGTAGATAGAAAGTGTGATTCTGTGAAAAGTGTGAATATTTTTCATACATTCAAGTGTGATACTGTGAAATTCCTTCCATATCTTTCTCTTGCCAACTGTACGATGAAAAGTACACTGGGTTGAGCCAGGTGTGGTGGCTCAAGCCTGTAATCCCAGCACTTTGGGATGCTGAGGCGGATGGACCACTAGGTCAGGAGTTTGAGACCAGCCTGACCAACATGATGAAACCCCATCTCTACTGAAAATACAAAAATTAGCAGGGTGTGGTGGTGTGTGCCTATAGTCCCAGCTACTCGGGAGGCTGAGGCAGAAGAATCACTTGAATCTGGGAGATGGAGGTTGCAGTGAGCCAAGATTGTGCCACTGCACTCCAGCCTGGGTGACAGAGCGAGACTCAGTCTCAAAAAAAGAAAATTACGCTAGGCAAAAAGAAAGATATGGAAGGATTTATACCAAACTACTAACAGTGGTTATGCTTGGAAAGAGGAATGGGGTTAGGGGTAGGACGGGGTTTTAAATCTTACTTAAACTCTTCTGTCATGATCACGTTTGTATTTTATTTTACAATGAGCACTTTTGGGTTTTGAAATTTAAAATAATGTTTTAAATTATGAGACTTTTTTCTTAAGTGAGTCAGACATCTAGCTTCCAATCCCAGCTCTGCTACTTACTTCGTTTTATGACTTGGGAAAGTTAATCTACCTAAGCCTATGCTCCCTCAACTGTCAAGTGGGCATAATAGTTACCTAGCCCACATGGTTATTAAGTGACAAAGCCCGGCATGAAGTAGGAACTCAGAATACATCACTTCAATGGAAAGTAAATGTCATCTGTTTTTCGCAATCATCAAAGACATCCAAAATAGAACTTAATTAAAACATAGTATGACTGAGCGCAGTGGCTCACACCTGTAATCCCAGCACTTTCGGAGGCCAAGGCAGGCGGATCACTTGAGGTCAGGAGTTCAAGACCAGCCTGGCCAACACGGTGAAACCCTGTCTCTATAAAATTTCAAAAATTAGCTGGGCATGGTGGCGTGAGCCTGTAATCCCAGCTACTCGGGAGGCTGAGGCAGGAGGATTGCTTAAACCTGGAAGGCAGAGGTTGCAGTGAGCTGAGATCACACCACTGCACTCCTGGGCGACAGAGCAAGACTCTGTATAAACAAAACAAAACAAACAAACAAACAAACAAAAACATAGTTCATTCTTGTCTCAATGCTATAAGCATTCATATATGCAATCAAGTCTGATGCAACACAGCTGGTTTAGAAGGTGGCTATTTGCCCTTACTGCTAGCTAATTAAGTAATCTCACAATTTGTTTATTTGATGGTTATCAAACCAAGAAGGGTTATAAAATTCTACAAAGAAATTTATAATACTTCTGCTTCAAGAATGATCACTGGTTTAAGCTAAGCTCTCAGTTTGCCTGTGTTCTTATTAGAAAACAGTTCTTTACAATTTTCACTCACCTCGTGCCCTGTCTCCACTGGGAGACATCACAGCATGTTTTTTGAAGTCTTCTTCTTGTTTTCTCTAGAAGTTCTGTAAAAAAACAAAATGCCATTGATAATGATAGCTGCCTTGCATTTTATCCCATCATTTTTTTTCCTATAATTTGTAATTAAAAGTTCTCATTATATATGCAATTCACTGTTGTTATAAATTTCTAATAGGTAAAAAACATATACAGTAAAAAAGTAAAAGTCTTTGTTTCTTTCAGTCTTTTAATTTTTAAGTCACTTGGTATTGAGTAAGTACAATCACCTCAGTATTCATATGTTTGGGGGACTATTAAAAATAAATTTCTATGTATTTAAAAACATAGCTAGAGAACTCCAACATGGCTGAGGGGGCATTGCTGAATCAGAAGAGTTCAAAGCAGTTGATGCGACCTTAAAATATTGAAAGCCACAAATCTAGAGTCTTTTCTAATATTCCACATTAAATCACCTACTTCAAGTGACAAGTGAAATGTGTTTGTAATAGGTTTTTCTTTAGGGGCCAATTGAAGTGATCTATACTCAAAATTAAGAACAAATCTATTTAGAAAACATTCTGTGATTTATATAATTTTTGCTGCAGTACAGGCAGTTTGGCCAATTCACCGAATCTTCCTGGACTTCGGTTTCCTGACCTGTATGATTGGGTTAGTAATAGTAATACTCGCCTCACAGCGTGGATGTGAAGAGTCAGGGACCTGAAGCCCAGAGGGAGGGAGACTGGGATGTGGAGTGCGGGGAGGGGCAAAGCCTTGCTTGGTCACCTTTTGTCATTTTATCAAGAGGCCTTTATCCTGGGTGAATCTGTTTATTCCCAGCTTGGCTTGCTCTTTTTTTCCTTTAACTTAACAGATTTTTTTTTCTTAAAAGATTACTTTTGTACATAATGCTGTACTTTGTCTAAAGGAATATAAGAGGCCATGTAAGGCCGGATACTGGCTCTGACAGACACTGCTAGTTGCCATCCAGGATTCGTTCTCTTTTTTTTTTTTTTTTGGAAACCCAGTTAAAACACTGTATTCCCCCTCTTCCTCACAGCTAGTGTAACCATGAGTCTAGATTTCTACCCATGCAATACAAGGAGAAACACTGAGTGACCACTGGGAAGTTTCCTAAAAGGGAGAACACACCTTTTTTCCCCATTCTTCATTCTTGCTGGCTGAACACCAGTGAGATAGGTGGAGACCTAGCAACCCTCTTGGACCAAGAGTTGATATACTAAGGATGGCAGAAGAGCAAGATGAGAGGAACCTGGGTGCCTCACACCAAGGAACTCATCTAACAGCACTGGACTGCCTACCTTTGTGGGGTTGTTTGTTTGTATGTTTGTTTGTTTTTAATGTAAGAGAGAAATATACTTCTAGCTTGTTTAAGCCCCTATTCTTCCCCTCCCCCCCCCCGCCCCCTAACCCCGGCATATACAGATTAACCCAATCCTTACTGATATGCTGGTCTTCTAGGAAGCTATCCAGAGGCCAAAAGCAAAAAAATTTTTTTTTGAATAAAAGGCAGGTTTTCTCTCTGAAGCCCAGGCTGGAGTGCAGTGGTGTGATCGTGGCTCACTGCAGCCTCAACCTCCCAGGCTCAAGCAATCTGCCCACCTCAGCCTCTTGAGTAGCTGGAACTATAGGCACACGCCACCACATCTGGCTGATTTTTATATTTTTTGACAGAGATGGGGTTTTGCCATGTTGCCCAGGCTGGTCTCGAATTCCTGGGCTCAAGTGATCCCAGTGTCTCGGCCTCCTAAAGTGTTGGGATCACAGATATGAATCAGCCTGGCAAGAACGACTTTTAATTCTGGAAAGTTTTCTTATATTTCCTTGGAGCCTACGTGTGCTTTCTGCTAATTAACAACAAAGTCTTCAGTCTTTAGACTTCAGAAGTCTTCACTCCAGCCCTTGTTTGTGCCCTGTCTCCCTTGAATTGCCTACATTTTAGATACTACTCACTCATTTGAGCTCCTCAGATAGAAACCTGGAAAATGAGGCAACTCGATCGGGAAAAAAAGAAGAAAGTTTGCCTAAAATTAATTTTTTAGGGGTTTAAACAGAGTTCACATGCATTCAACAAGTATTTAATAAGCATATACCATATAAAAGGCATTGTACCAGGTGTTGGGAGAAATGCAAGGATATCATTGTTTCTGCTTCCAGTCTAGTAGGGAAGATGAGACACACAAATAACTGTAACATGTCATGGATTGTGACAAATGAAAAAGAAAAGTGTAAAGTGCCTAAAATTTTCAGAGAAAAGATGTATTCCCTTGTGGGGATTAGAGAAAGCTTCATTAAGAAGACAGGATTTGAGCCAGGCTTTGCACGATATGTAGAAATGGTCAAAAGGGGATCACCAGAGGGGCCAGGCACAGTAGCTCACACCTGTAATTCCAGCATTTTAGGAGGCTGAGGCAGGTGGATCGCTTGAGCTCAGGAGTTCGAGGCCAGCCTTGCCAACATGCTGAAACTCTGTCTCTACTAAAAATACAAAAACATGGTGGCGGGTCCCCGCTCTCAGGAGGCTGAGGCAGGAGAATTGCTTGAACCCAGGAGGCAGAGGTTGCAGTGAGCCGAGACTGTGCCACTGCACTCCAGCCTGGCAACAGGGTGAGACCCTGTCTCAAAAAAAAAAGAGGATTACCAGAGGAACAAAGCACAAGGCCTAGGTGGACTTAGGAACCCTAGGGAGCAAGGAAGGTAGAGTAAAAGGTGCGGTTAGACAGGTAGATTGGGGGCAGATAGAGGGCCTTAAATCTCTTCTTTGGAGCTTGCTCTGCAGTGGAGAGAATAAGTCATTGAAAATGTTTAAGCAGTGGTATAACAAGATCACATATCTCTGGTAAGAAGATGACTTTGTGGCACGGTAGAGGAAAGAGCAGCTGCAAAGAGGCCAGTGAGCAGGCACCTTTAATAACCCAAGTAAAAGATGATGATGACCTGAATTAGGGAAGTGACTCTTAGAAAGGAAAGGAGGGCACAGATAGAAGTAACATTTCAAAAGTTGCTCCATGAGCCAAACGTATGCTTCACCCAAGAAAAAGAGTTGGATAGTCACTCCCAGATTCAGAAGGAGGAAATATGTCCATAAGATAATTTTTAAAATTACTCTAAACTTACTTGAACCGGAAGACTAAAAGAAGGCTGAATATGCTATAATAATGAACTTGTTGGTTCTACAATTTTAGCAGAACCTTAACTTTTGTTTTTCCCATATATCAGTTGGGGGTGCACTGACTAACCCTGCTACGAGATGGGGGAAACACATTAAAAAATATCTCAAAAAAGAAATACAGCCATCCTTTCTTTCCCATTGTTCATCCTTTGCCCAGGTGTTACAGTACTTAGCAGATGTCAGTTAGGTTTTTCCCCAGTTATCTATTCACCACCTTTAGGCATCATCTCTACCCACCCCCACCTACTCACACACTCCATAAGAAATCCAATGAAAATTTATGAGGAGGAGATTTTTTAGAGAGCGTAAGAATTTTCCAGTATTTGCTTCTTTATTGCTCGCTAAAACCATGCCAACATAGCCTGGGGAAAGGTGGAAAGGGCTGGCATTGCCCCATATAAGGGAATTATATCCTCAAATCATTTGAGATAAGTAGGCCCCAAAGACAAATCCACAACAGTTACTCCCTCATTCTCAGGAAATAAATTGTAGAGATTTCTTCAAATGGATACATTTGAGAATCCGATTAGCTGCCACTTTCTCTTTTTCAGATTATTTTAGGAAGACTCAAACAGATGTTAATACTTACTACCCTGTCTTTTTGTCAATAAAGGCACGAACAGACAACAAAATAATCACGAACATACCAATCAGAAGAGTGCTTCCTGTAATATTAGCATTTATGATTTGTTTTGTTCATCTTATTTGGGGCATTCAAAGTGCTTTACAAATAACATAATGAGTGTTTTTTCCGTCCGTGACTCCCAAGGTGATTCCTGGCACTCTCTAAAGGAACAAGTGTTTAGTCAAGTCCTCGGGGCCCAGCAGCAGTAATGTGATGCATGTTGGTTAAACTATGTTTCACACTCATGTAAATTGCGTGTTGGGGGGTGGGGAATCTTCCACACTGTCCTTGAGAAGATTAGCAAGAATTATGAACTTAAAGATTCTTACATTTATAAAAATCCAAAGAGAAATATTGAACAAATCATACTCCAGTCCTAAAATCAAAATCTAAGGATCTTAACCTGTGGTCCCAAGAACAGGGTTTCAGGTCACCTGTAAATCTCCTGAAATTGTATGCAAAATTTTGTGTGATTATACCTTTTTTTTTTTTTTTTGCAGAAATGGTGGACTGGTTTCTGAAGATTCTAAAAGCAATTCTTGACACCAAAAAGGTTAAGAACTGCCATCATGAAAAAAAAAGAAAGGAAGGAAGAGGGAGGGAGGAAAGGAGGAAAGGAGAGAGGAAGGGAAGGAGGAAGATCAGTTGATCTCTGTATCCACACTGCTTAGTTTATTACTGGCCTGCTACATTGAAGTACACCCTTATACACAGAGAAAAGGGAAGGTAAATAAAGGGAATTAAGAAAAAGTTAACAATAAGGCCGGGCATGGTGGCTAACGCCTGTAATCCCAGCACTTTGGGAGGCTGAAGAGGGAGGACTGCTTGAGATCAGGAGTTCAAGACCAACCTGGGCAACATGACAAAACCCCATCTCTAGAAAAAATACAAACATTAGCCAGGTGTGGTGGTGTACACCTGTGGTCTCAGCTACCTGTGGGGGCTGAGGTGGGAGGATCGCTTGAGCCCAGGTGACAAAGTGAGACCTTGTCTAAAAAAAGAGAAGAAAATAAAAAAAAACACAATAGTATGATCATCTTCTTTCAAAAGCCTCCGAGTTTTCAAATGAGTTTAGATTGCATTTTCAGAGCCCATGGTATGAAAAATGTAGACATTAATTAATTAAGTTTGTGAAAAATGTTTAGAATAAATATTAATCAAAAACTTTTTTATCTAGTATAAATTTCTGATCATTATGTTGAATCCTTCAGAAGTAGCCTTCAATGAAATAGCTATCCCGTTTACAGCAATATGATTTTGTATTAAAAGGGGCTATTAAAAATATAAAAGGGTGATATAAAGAGAGATTTCTACATATTCAGAATACTATTTCAGCATATAAAAACTCACATAATTCCAATACTAATTATAATAGAATGCTATTCTCACTTAAGTAAAGACAGTGTTTAAGTGAAACTCAGTTCTTCTCATTACACGCCAAAGCCCCATGAAGTGCTTAGAATTATGTTTCACCAATAAAGCCCCCATGTAATTAATCAGTACACATTTCCAATCAGGATGTGTTTTTTGTTCTGTACATGGAGGAGTGAATGCTGAAGATTCCTCTATTCCTTTTCTGTGTTAGAAAGGAATAAACCAATCTCCTTCTATCCCTAATCTTTTTCATTCTTTAATTATTCTTAATCCCAAAGAGGCATGTCCATGTCAGATTTATGCTGCCTAGTATCCTTTCTTTAAGACTGCTCTCAAAATTTAACTCAGCTTCAACTATATTTATTAATATGCAGAACAACTTCAGTCTCCAGTTTATTGATAACCTGCAAAGCGCAGTTAAGACAGAATATAAAAATTAAGCAAGGAAATAAATGAAGGTTTTACAAATTGTTATAACTTTTAAATAAAAGTTATTTCTTTGAATGGCTACCTTAAATAAATGTTAGCATATATCGAATTTAAATTAGTACACCATATGGTAAGGATTGATGGGTTTTCATCTCTTATAAAATTGTTTCCCCTTTCAGTGCCCCTTAAAGCATATAAAAGCGCATACTTACCCCATGTTGCTTGCGGTGGTTATATCATCCTCAGATCAAGGCTTATCTGGGTTCTGAATTAACTTAAAGGTTATAAAAAGAAGCAGTAGAGAGGTTTGACTTCCCCTGAAACGAGACCGTAGTATGCTAACCAGGCTTTTAAATGATGAAAACTAGTGTCTCTTCTAATTATATAAGCTCCAGGTCAAATTCTAGCATCAACTAATCAAATAACTGAACTGCATTTAGTTTCAATGAGTAAAAGGAAGAAACCCATTTAGGAGGAATATCTTTGGTGTATTAGAAAATTGAAAAGTTGTACATTGAAAAGTTATTAATATAGCAATACAAGTTAAATATTTTAAGAGTAAAATGTATATCTTGCTGCCTTAAGTAAATTGAAAAAAATTAGGGAAAATTTAGTTTGCAGCAAAACAGATACTTTTCTATATTTTCCAGAAGTTTTTGAATTTAAATTATATGTCCTGGTCCCTGAAAACATCTTCTCACCTTATCTTAACTTGTCCAGTATTTAACTCTTCATAAATTTCCATATAATAATAATATTTAATTCTAAAGCCATGCCAGCTAATGTTAAGCAACATATGCAAAAATGTCCAATTCTTAAAATCTATCTTTGAAAACTTACAAATAGGGTGTTTTGAAATTAACCATAAAGGTATTATTATGAGAAACTAACTAACATGCCATTTTAATTTTAACATTTTAGAAGACATTGCAACCCAAATTTGTGCCAGTAAAGCAAAAAATAAAAATATACATTTTTTGGCAATGATATATTGAGAAATACAAATATTCAGAAGATTTTGAATAGAGAAATATGACAAAGAAGTTATCTATTGCATACATTATTTTTGTCAGTTTTAGAATATAGAGTTTCAGCAAAAAACATTCAGGTCTTTATTGTAATTTTAAAAATGTAGTTGACATATACTGCTCTGGAAATGTTTAAATTATTTTATGTAAAAAGTAAAGAGATTTTCTGGACATAGAATATATGACAACACACAGATCTACTTTTTCAGAAATTGAGACATAATTTACATATCATACATAAAATTTGTCCCTGTAAAGTGAACAATTCAGTGGTTTTTAGTATATTTTCAAGACTGTGCAACCATCACCACTGTCTAATTCTAGAAACCTCATGCCTCCCAATTCCTTCCTCCCCTGGCAACCACTAATCTATTTTCTGTCCCTAAGGATTTGCCTATTCAGAGCATTTCACATAAATGGAATCATACAATATGTGGCCTTTTGTGACTGGCTCCTTTTACTTAGTATAATGTTTGTTTGTTTGTTTGTTTGTTGTTTTTGAGATGAGGTTTGGCTCTGTCACCCAGCCTAGAGTGCAGTGGCACGATCTTGGTTCACTGCAACCTCTGCCTCCTGGGCTTAAGCAGTCCTCCCAAGGAGCTGGGACTATAGGCATGTGCCACCACAGCTGGCTAATTTTTGTATTTTTTGTAGAGATGGGATTTTGCCATGTTGCCCAGGCTGGTCTCAAACTCCTGGACTCAAGCGATCCACACACCTTGGCATCCCAAAGTGCTGGGATTACAGGATGAGCCACTCTGTCTGGCCAGTACAATGTTTTTGAAGTTCATCCATGTTGTAGTATCAGTACTTCATTTTTTATGGTTGAATAATATTCCATTATGTGGACATTTTGTTTATACATTCATTAGTTGATGGACATTTGGATTGTTTCCAGTTGGGGCTATTATAAATGTCTTAGTCCATTTGAACTGCTGTGAGAAAATACCTTAGACAAGGTAATTTGTAAACAACAGAAATGTATTGCTCACAGTTCTGGAGGCTGTTAAGTCCAAGATCAAGGCACTAGCAGATTTAGTGTCTGGTAAGGACTTGCTCTCTTCTTCAAAGATGGCACCTTCTTGCAGCATTCTCTTGTGACAGAAGAAGCAAGCAATCTCCTTCACATCTCTTTTATAAGGGCATTAATCCCATCTATGAGGGCTCTGTCCTTATAACCTAATTACCTCCTAAAGGCCTCAACTCTCAATATTACCACAGTAGAGATTAGGTTTTTGTTGTTGTTGTTGTTGTTTTTAGACAGAGTCTCGCTCTGTTGCCCCCGCTGGAGTGCAGTGGCACCATCTTGGCTCACTGCAGATTTTACCTCCCAGTTTCAAGCGATTATTGTGCCTCAGCCTCCCAAGTAGCTGGGATTGCAGGCGCACACCACCATGCCTGGCTAATTTTTGTATTTTTAGTGGAGAAGAGGTTTCACCAGGTTGGCCAGGCTGGTCTCAAACTCCTGACCTCAAATGATGCACCCATCTTAGCCTCCCAAAGTACTGAGATTACAGGCGTGAGGAAATTAGGTTTAAACATGAATTTTGGAGGGACACATTCAGACTATAGCAACGAATAATGTTGCTATGAACATTCGTGTACAAGTTGATTCCTTGCGTACATACCTAGGAACTGCTGAGTCATGTAGTAACTCTATGTCTACATTTTTTTTTTTTTTTTTTTTTTGAGACAGAGTCTCGCTCTGTCGCCCAGGCTGGGAGTGCAGTGGCCGGATCTCAGCCTCACTGCAACTCCCCCTCCCAGGTATCTCTCTCAACAAACAACA